AATGTCATATGAAGCCACAATACACGTATGAATCAAGAATTAATGATTAGATATTGTGTAAACAATAAGTATGTGATATGTGAGAAGAAAAACTTCCTTATAATGACAAGTAATAAAATAAAGCATTTCACTAGAAAAAATAAATTATAATAACTTAATTGAAATTTTCGTCATGAAAGCAGTACAAGTTTTATTGAAGTAAACTAAAACCATAAAGAAAGAAATGAAAAAAAATAAAAAAATGCATAGGCTCATAGATATTTCTTGAAAATATCGAGGAAATTGACTGATTTTCAGAAATATCGTGGATATGGGGTGAAGTCTAAACTTCACCCCCTCTTTCCATATCGTTCCCTGAGTTTATAATATTTTCGTAGAAATATCGATCATATCCAGGATATTTCAAACACCGGATGTAAGGCAATGTACTTGCCTACTTGCACATTGATCTCTTTCTCATATATTAGAATTAGAGCAGTTTAAAATATTGATTGTTGGAAATAGTTTTGGGCCTTTACATTTGCAAACTCGGACCCATGTGAAAATTTTCAGTTTATTTGGTCTTCAATTGAGTAACCCAGGCCCAAATTGAAGACATGGGCTAAGATTTAATTTATTTTTTGTTTTTTTGCTTTTGTTTTTTGTTTTTTTGTTTTTTAATTTTAATGTGTAAAGAACACCAAACTGCAAAAACCCTCTTTGTCTCTGCAGCTGCTTCTCTACCTTATCTTCTTCTTCTTCCCCAGACTCCCCCAACAATGCCGGACCAAGACTCGCCCAAACCCACTGAATCCCAACTCAAGAACCAAAAATCCGACTCGAATTCCGACCCAGATGAGGAAAAAGCAAATCTCTCCTCCGACGACGACTCAGAGTCTGAGTACGACTCCGACGAGTCGTCCGAGTACGAAGGAGATGGAGGTGGTGGCGGCCCAGATGGCGGTGAAGCGGATGATTCACTCAAGTACATCCGACCCGGTGAAGATATTCCCGAGGCCGATAATACACCCGAGGTGAACATGAAGCTCTTCTCTCAGGTGCTCCAGGGGAAGAGAGTGAGGAGAAGGCAGGACGAGGAGGACGAAAGCTATGTCTTTTATGAGGACCTTTTCGATTTTCCAGAGGACCCGGAGAATTGGAGGGAGGAGGACTTGAAGGAGTTATGGGGGGACGCTCCGTTGGAGATGACCAACCCCGGGTGGGACCCGGTTTGGGCTGATGAGGAAGAGTGGGACATTGTCCGGGAGGAGATTAAGGCCGGCAAGGACCCTCCAATTGCCCCGTTTTATGTCCCGTACCGGAAGCCTTACCCAGCTATACCGGATGACCACTATGACATTTCCAATCCCAAGGCTGTGATTGAGGAAATGGATAGGATTGAGGAGTTTCTCAAATGGGTTAGCTATGTTTTCGAAGATGGAAGCACGTATGTTTTTTTAATGTTCATTCTCTACATTCCTGCAAAGATCGTATTTTTACTCCGTTTATGTTAAAAGTTGTTGCTTTTTGGTGTTTTAACTTATCATGTTTCTTATCACATTATGCTATGATGGTCTTTGTTGAAGGTATGAGGGCACTGTCTGGGATGACTTGGCTCATGGGAAAGGAGTCTACGTTGCCGAGCAGGGACTTGTCAGGTTTGTATATAATTTACTAATTTCAGTTGTGACTCTTATATGTCGACGACTATCTTGGACATCTTTAAAATGGCTAGAAGAGAATGATGAAATGACACAGATATGTGAAAGAAAGATGGGCTGAGCGAACGTATCTTTCTTTATTTTGTTTTGATGGGGCGTATGACGGGATGGTGAGTATTTTGACATTTGCATCCTAGGGTGTGGTGGACAAAGCTTGTATCAAAGAGTTTATGCAGGACATATAGTCTACTCTATCACTATGGTTCTTTTCCGTCAGGTTAGAGTAGTTTTCAAGTTCAATATATTAGAAAAAAATAAATAGATAAATGGGCATTGTTACTTTTGCCTTGTCTGAGGCCCCCACCCTGTTTATGTTTATCTAAGTTTATTAATTTGGCTAGCTTGCAATTAGTTCATTCTTTTTATGTGAGAAATAAAATTTCATATCCTTTTTGTAGGTATGAAGGTGAATGGCTTCAAAATAACATGGAGGGTCATGGGGTTGTTGAAGTTGATATACCTGATATAGAGCCTATTCCAGGTTCCAAGTAAGTTTATTATCCCTATATATATATGTGCCCTGGTATATCATGGCAGTTGGTTCTTTAAGAATTTTTTTCTGTGCAGTATAAACTAATTGAGGTACTTGTTACCCTCTTGTAAGGCTTGAAGCGCAAATGCGTGCTGAAGGGCACATAATATCAAGAGATTATATGACCCCAGAAGATAAGAAATGGCTGGAGATGGATATTGAAGACAGCATTCTTCTAGCAGGTGGGCAGACTGAAGTACCGTTTTATGAAAGTGAAGAGTGGATCAGACAATTTGGGAGGAAACCGTAAGTTATAGGCTGCTATGTTACATTGGTTGTAATAGGATTGTTTTTTGATGAATTCTGTGTAATATTAATGATTTGATTTATTTAAGATTGTAAGATGTGGTTAGTTTTTCAATATGTAATCTGATATGGCTATTTGTATGGATTATCAAGTAAAATCAAGTGAGATAGTTGGTCAATGGGCTTGAGTTCCTAAAGTGGTGTCGTATTGACTAAGATACCACTTCCCCTTCTTTAGTAGCCAACCCGTAGGATCTTATTTTGATGGTATCAAGAATGTCAGAACAAGCCACCAGCAAATATCTGGTGCTGAAATAGTCCCATACAGTCTAGATGTGAGTATAGAGTAGCTAGCTTTTGGCATATATACCTTTTTGCCAATCAGAAGAGGTGAAATGGGCCTGAGGGCTTGTAATTTATAATTTTCATTTACCATTTATCAAGCCATTTGCAAATTTTACTGTACAGCTGTACAGGATATAAATAGGTATTCTTTTTCTGAAACTGGTTTTGTGATTTTATCTAATGATGTTTCTTTGTCAGGGAGAAAGGTCGATATCGTTATGCTGGTCAGTGGAAGCATGCCAGAATGCATGGATGTGGGGTATATGAAATCAACGAGCGTACCATTTATGTAGGTGCATGAAATTTAAGCCATTTCTTTTAAAAAATTCACTGAACACATAGAGTAAGCTTTAAGATATGGAAGAAGTCAAAAGAGTGGAGAATTATTGCCTCTTATCAAGTACAATTGGAGACCTTTTCCTGTTGTTTGTCACAATAAAATACACATAAGCAACATCCAAGAAATTAGGTTAAACCATGTATGGGGTAGTAAGACATATTATTCTCTAGAAAGAGGGTTGTTGAGATTCAAGACATGGCTAGTTGATTTGGAAAAAAATAGCTTTAATACCAAAACTGATGTACCGGTATAAATGCTTTGCTTTCTTTTATGAACTTCAGTACTGTAAGTTTTCAGTGATGCATCATTAGTTAGTTTTATATTTCTTCAAGTTTCATTTTCAGTTTTTATATTTTAGAGAATATCTATAGCTTCCCTTGACCTATAATGATACTGGTATGACTATTCCTATTCCTGTGAATTGAGACCACCCATGTTTCCATAAAACATTGATACTTTTTCTTATTGTTTTCTGCTACTTCTAATCCTAATATGATATAGACTCCGTCTCCCAATCTACGAGTTGTAGACCAAGTTGTAAACTACCCTAGGGCTTCGTAATAACTTAATAGCATCTCTTAACTCAAAATTAGATCCCTAGGTTACAACGACAGCCTATCTCTAATAATTGTGGGAAAGTGGGAAATCCCAGTATACTCTTTAGCAATAAAGGATGCTTGTAGAGGATGCCAGTGAAAAAAGTTTACGGTGGAAAGAAATCAAATGACCTGTAGGGCATGCCAAGAATTTCCAGCACCAAATAATGTGAAAGTTTTGCCCTTGTTTGCATTCCTCAGTGTATAACAGCTTGATACTATATTATGGTTATTGAGTTAAGGTACTTTACCTTCTATTTGCATGCAGGGCCGGTTCTATTTTGGGGAGTTAGTGGAGGATGATACTGGTTGTGATGAGGATGTATCAGCGGTAAAAATATATGTTCATTCTTTGATGTATTATACAGAGGCGAAAGTTACCATCTGTGTGAAGATTTCTCTAATGTGTTGGTTGCTTTCAGATGCACGCGGGTATTGCAGAAGTGGCTGCTGCTAAGGCTCGGATGTTTGTGAACAAGCCTGATGGAAGTATGTTTTTAATACCAATAATTGCCTTCCATAAAATTAAATTGTGAATTGTTGTATCTTGTAGAAACTGAAAATTTGTACTCAACTTTATTGTTGGACGTTTCTGGCCAGAGGTTAATTAAATATGCACTAAAACATATACCATCATCGTCAGGAATATGGCCTACATATTTTAGTATATTTATTCACAGATTTAGGTGTAAAAGTGTCCATATAGACAGTATTTGAGGACATTGACCAAAAAAAATGATAGCATTTCAGTATGCTATGGAATGTACATGTTACTTTTACCGAAGAGATACCAATAGTTCTTCAACACCCCATATAGGTTTGCATACATTTAGTTGTGTTGGAATACAGCCCTTCTTGGGGCCTTGCTCCATTTATTATTAATATTTTTTGATAATCTGGCTCTCAGAAAATGCAGATTTAGTTGATTTTGTAGATTACGTACATAGGAACTTTGAACTTTGAATGACTATTATAAATGCTTGCATCATGTAGATCTGGTTTATACCATAAGATCCGTTCAGCTTTTGTAGACTCTGATTTCTCCTTTGTTCATGACAATGGAATTTCTTTTCTTTTAAAGTGGTTAGGGAGGAAAGGGGACCTTATGGTGATCCTCAACATCCCTACTTTTATGAAGATGATGATGTTTGGATGGCACCAGGCTTCATAAACCAATTTTATGAAGTAAGTTATCATCAATTGTTTATGGCTGGTAAAATTTTTCACGTAACAAAAAATGGAAGTAAATCAATATACTTAATTAGTCAGGAAATTGATTGATCAGGTTTAAGAAGTTGAGCATGTAATACTTCTTTTCTCATAGAAAAGTATTTATACTTCTTTGTCAGGTACCTGATTATTGGAAAACGTATGTGCATGAGGTCGATGAAGAAAGGGAAATGTGGTTGAACTCCTTCTATAAAGCTCCACTGAGGATACCCATGCCTGCTGAGCTTGAATACTGGTGGTCAAAGGGTATTAATTTCATCATCCATAGACATACGCCCTCTTCATCTCGCATTCATTCAAAAAATTTGCTCTGCACATCCACCCATACATGAATTTCTTTTTCCTTCTTTCTCCGAAGTAAGAAGCAGAATGTTAGGGATCTTCCGGACATACGACAAACTCAATTTTATGAACCCTTTTATCCTTCCATTGTAAAATTTGATAGGTGTCACCTGTCCACATAAGCCATTGGCTTCATCAAATTCCGTTTAGTTTTGTGCTTCTCTGAATATAAATGCGTGGTTTGGTCTTCCACCAAAAAGGACAAAGTTAAGTTGCCTACTAGTACTAATTTATGTTACATTTGCTTGATCAGATGAAACTCCAGAATTTGTTCTTCTTAACAAGGAACCAGAGCCTGATCCTGAAGACCCATCGAAGCTTGTATATACTGAAGATCCCATAATCCTACACACACGAACTGGACGGTTAATCAACTATATCAATGATGAAAAATATGGGGTGCGCTTGTTTTGGCAGCCGCTTCTGAAAGATGGGGAAGAGGTGGACCCAAAAAAGGTGGAGTTCCTTCCCCTTGGTTTTGATGATTTCTATGGAAGGAATGTTGGTGTGAAGAAGAAAAATTTATGGATGCGTGTGGTATCAGCAGTGGAAAATGCATGCAAGCCCGTTCTTGAAAAAGTAGAGAAATGGACTGAAGAGAAGAGGAAAGCCAGTGAGGTGAAGTTGAAGTTGATTGAAAAAGAACTTGAACTTGTAGAGGCTGAGTTGTGCCTGGAAGAGGTAATTGAGGATATGGATGAGGAGTTAAAGATGAGAGAGAAAGAGGAAGAGAAGGCGGAAATGAGTTTGCAGGAGGAAGAAGATACTTCTGCTGCATCGGCAAAGCAAGATGAGAAACCCTTAGTTGAAGAGGATGAAGAGGACGAGGACGAGGAAGAGGAAGAGGAAGATGAGGATGATGTTGCGCCATCAAGTTTTGGGTCTGCAACTGCAGATCAAGATGCAACTAAAAATGGCCAGAAGGGAAACAAACCTGGGAAATCTCCATTTTCTTCATCTTCATTGGCATTTGCTTCATGTAGCCTTGTCTCTGGAGTGAGTTCTGAACTTTTCTTTTACAACATATTTCTTGGAATTTCACTTCATTAAAATGTTGCTATAAGTCAGCGTTATTAAATAGAATATCTTGTGATGTTAAGACATATATATATGCTATACAATGCCTTAGATTACCAAAAATGAAAACCATAGCCAATCAATATATTAGCTCGGTTGGTAGGAAAGTTTATATTGTGGTAGTTCAAATGATGTGATGGTTTTGAATAAAATCAGCATCTTTTCCTTTCCTCATAGCCAAGCAACTTTGTAAAATTTTTGGATTGGCAATCATAGACTTATATGTTACTGCATCAGGTTTGTATTTATATTATTTAATAAGGATTTGGTATGCTTGGGTGAAAAGCTTGTGTGTAGTGTCCTCTTAATGATTAGTTGTGCTGTATACTATTTGATGGATGAGTCATGACGATTAGATTTCTAAACTCATTAATCCCCTTCTGTAGAGGCTTGACTTGTCTTTTGTATCTAGTTAGAGCTGATGACGGTTTATATTTGCATTAAGGATTTAGACTGTTGAACTTGCTTGCTTTCATGATTGAAACAAGAACTCTGCTTGTTTATATGAACTACAGACTTTGACATCTTTCCATGTGAAATATGCTTCTATGCAATTAATCACTATTCCTTGCCAAGAAGAATTTTGATAGCATACACAAGTGATGTATAAGTTGGTACAATGAGTTAATTAGTCAATACAAAGTATGTAATTAAAGCGTAGGTTATACTTACAAATGAGATAACCATGGATCTGTTTTCTTGTGAATTAAGAGTTTTAAAAAGTTTAAATTTTCAGAATACCATAAATCTGGGTGTGTGCATCTATTGATGTGCAGTTATTATGGTAGTTCAGATTTAAAATTTCACTTAACCGAATGATTTTTTTACTTATGGGAGCTTATTTATATATCCGTCAAGTAGTTACAACTTATGGTAGTCCTTCAAAAGTTAGGCAATGTCTAATGGATTTGATCATCAACACTGTCACCTTCTAATCCATCTTGTTTGTCTGAAATAAGTTAGAAGGGTTGAGGGCACTCTGAATGATGCCAACGGCATTTATTTTATATTACCCTGCATTAGTCATGATAATACTCCGTATTTGAAAGCAGATGCTGGTGATTGACACATAAAATGTCAAGACTTTTAATCGGTATATCAGCTGGTGTTTTGAATATTTTTGTAACATATCCAACAGACAGTGCCCTGTTGTCAGAGAATGCAGTTTGAGTGATGCCTGTCAATTTGAACTAGTTCTTACGACTTTTTGTTGTTGTGCAGGTTCCATCCAGGCTACAACAAGCATTTTTGTCCTGGAAAAAGAGTAGAGCAATGCTGAACACAACTATTCCCTCGTGCAATGACGCCTCTAGTTGCCCCTCAGCTGATTCAGTCAGTTTCCCTCCGGTGGTTGGTCGAAAAGTAAACTTGAAAGCCACTAGTCAAAGACAGTTGAACTGCGAAGCCAAAATCTCCTCAAATGGGAGGCTATCTCGGATGCGGCCCATATCTCAATTATGCTCATCTCATTCAACATCTATGGATACCAGAATAAGCTCAAAAGAAATGAGATCAAGAAACTGTAGTTGGCCGCATGTAGCGCAAGGGAGGGAACCATACAGCGTTTTGTCGCTTCACACCCCTGTGCGTTGTTTGAACCCGTATGAAGAAACTATGCATGGCGAGCCGCCGCTATCTCCCTTGTTAACATAATACTTGTACTCTAAGGGTCAATTTTGTAAGCAGCACATTCTTTTTCCAGCTTAAATTTCATGTATAAACTCGAGGCTCTCCCTCCAAATCCAACCAAGAGACAAATAAAGGTGAGGATGATTTGAGTTTGGGTTTGAATGCCTTTTAGGTGTTGTGAAGAGGGCCTATGTAGCGACATTGTTACCGTTATTGTATTTTTGTAATTCTCAGTATCGTTGTACGTTGTATTTTAGGTTAATAATAATATGGAGGATGTTTAGTGTAACTATAGTTTCTCCTGGGCTCCAAAAAATTTGCATTTCCTGGGATCGTCTCATATTTATGACTCGTAGAACGCATACAGTATATTGCAAAAGGTTTCGTAAAAATTGTAAGAAAAAGTTAAAGGTATGTTTAGTATCTTATTCAAAAATTTTAATCATTTCTCAAAACTTATCATAAGAACATCTCTTAAAAATAATTTACTTTATAACTCAAAAACTCGTTTCAAATGAGATTTAAAATGTTTAGATCTTAAAATTTAAACTGAACAACGATAGGGGGTCGCAAAAAAAGGAGAAAGAACATAGAGGACCCTACGAGATGGAGAGGAGGAGAGAGAGAAATAAGACAGAATTGAAAGAGCGGACTAAAGGAGAGAGAAAGAAGGAAAAAAACAGAAAAAGAGAGAGAGAGAGAGATGCGAGGGGAGGAGAGGGAAAAGAAAAGAGTGAGCTTTAATTTTAAAAACTCTAAAAAATCATTTTTGGTGTTTTTAGAGAATATGCTATATTTCTAGGTTAGTCTTGAATTTATTTTTTGAAAACAGTCATACCAAACAAATTTTTAATGCCTAAAACTTGAAAAAGTGTTTTGAGTTTAAAAAATTGAATTAAAATGGAGTACCAAACAAGCTTTAAACATTTTACATTTTTTTTACGTTCCTGAGGAAAACTCTTTGTGACTCTCCCATCATGTCACACCCAAATGAGGAGAGAGAGATAATTACAAATATATAGCTGTGTTACACCAAAATCACTATCGCATTTTCAATTGAAATGACGCATATGAAAAGTGTTGACAACATTTTACCAATAAAACTCACATAAATTTGATAGTGAAGAAAAGAAAGGATTTCAAATGTTGCACCATTTTCAAATCCATCCTTTACTCAAAGAAGAATTTGTATACGAAAGTAGTTTTGAAGTCAAATTAAGCCCCCAATAAGTTGTAAATATTCTCATCCTAACTTGATGTGTATGTGCTCACCTCAAGTTTGGTGAATGCAGAAATGTCACAGCCCAGCTAGCTACCTGCGATTACTTGTTATTGACTATTAAAAATGGCGGCAGCATGAGTATTCTTACACGGCTGCGTTTTGTTTTTAATCGAAATTAAGTACAAATTTAATTAGGATCAAATCAAAAGTGGTCGTAAAGATGATGACTTTTCTAAAAGTAAGTCTTTAAGTCCAAATTCTTCAAGCATAAAGACTTGCAACGCTAGATTAACTGAACTTGAATTTATTGGTTTAACATCGTTCTTAAATCTTCATTAGTATAGTTTTGTATTAAACTAATATTTATTAGTATAATTTTAGTTTTTAAAGAGAGATGCATTCAATTATTTGTTCAACGTATTATGTATCAGATTCAGAACATTTAAAATGAATTTTTTTTAGTATATCAATATTTTTACACTAAAAGAGAACAGTTTAGCTAAGTCACACAATGAACAATCTAATTTGGTGTCGAATTCGTCATTCATGAGATTCAAACCTAAGACCTTACACTTCCAAGTGAAGATGAATACCACCATATCATAGTACTGAATGACCATTTGAAATGAATTTTTGGTAGAAACAAACACACTAATTAGGATTATTTTTTTAATATGAATGATATTAGAGAAAGAGGAGGTACCGAACATATAGGACCTTCCAAGGGTATGCCCATAATAATTTTATTAGTTGCATCTCTCTTGTAATGAGATTCTTCTTTGTTATTTATTAGGATGTGAGCATCCAATTTTTAAATTCTAAAAACAATTGGTAATATGAGAAATAAATTCAAGGGATTTAAACTCTAAGCAGTCTTCACTTATCAAATATGACATCATTTAAGCCTAACACACAAAAAAAAAAAAAAAAGGCAATATGGAAAGATTAGGTTTTTCTAATACATAAATATAGCCTTTGTTGAACAGAATACATAGATTGTTTATAGAATAATATTAATGATATAAACCCATAACACTAGTTTCTTAAATTGTAACTACTAATATTTGTCATTTAGTACTACAGTTTAGTGGTTTTAGGTTCGATTCTCACTAAAGGAGATTTTGAACTGTACATTATTGCTAGCCCATCACCTTTCTTTAATATAGATAATATCGTTTGTTCAAAAAAAAAAAATCTACTAATATCTTATCTTCGGAATTATGATTTAGACAAAAAAATATATCAAAATCTTAAGTAATATTTCAATCTTAATGAAATAAATGTGTTACAGTATTAATTATATGTTCGAGTACCAAATACTTTGGAGCGTCTTAGTTATTACTTGTTATACTTGTAACGACTGAATGTTTTCATGAAATTACTTGTCCCATGCTCTTAATTAGCCAAAGTATTATTTAT